CATTTAGCCTTCCTGTTTGCTGGGAAATGCACCATCAGCTGTTCATGAACAATCATCACTGATGCCTCTCACACCAAATTTAGTCCACCAGAAAGTGCAAGAGGGTTTGTCTGAAAAAATACAGTCTTTTCAATCACACCATTCTCCTCCCTCTTCAGCAACTGGTCTCCCTGCTGACAAACTTGGCCCTTAAAACCTATTTCACACACAACAATCACTTAGATAGGATGTCTTGGTATGACAATTGAATTATTCTCCCAAATCTTTACAATTATATTATCAGCCTGTGTCACTCCTAGGTTTATAGGGCCTTGTCCAGCTGGCCTCCCTCTGACGTTCAAACTTCTCACACTGTAGCCGCTCTGGTCTTATTCTTTTCTAACACATCACTCTGATCTCTGTCTTTTAGCGTCTACCTGGAAACAAGGTACACCCGATTCAGACCATAGTCTTCCCAATCACTTGCTACACATCTGAGAACCGGACAGCGAATAAGGATGACAGAAGAATCATCAAGGCTTTTGACCTGCAATGCTGGAGTACTGACTATCCCAGATTGCGAAAAGAACAGATATGTCTTGGACAAAATGCAGCCAGAGACAAGGATGACAAAGCTTCTATCACACACTTTGGGCATGTTGTTGGATGAGGATACTCTTTGGAACGGGACGTCATGCCTAGAAAGACAAGAAGACCTTCAATGAGATGGACGGACACATTGACTATGGCAATGACCTCAGGCCTATCAGATATGACGGGGGCACAGGACAGGGTTCAGATCTGTTGTTCATAGAGTCGCTTTGAGTTTTACTCGATGGCACCTAACAACAATGTCTGTGTGACTCTCTGTTTTTCACCACTTAGGTCACAGCTCAAATGTCACTCCTAACAGAGGTCCATTATAAACATGGTATTTTCATTCTTATTCCTCTATTTTCTTTACATTTACCACTCCGAGAAATTACCTCCTTTGTTAACTTGTTATATACCCAGTCTTGTTGTTATGTGCCTTCAAGAAAGAAAAGACTCATCACTGAATCTCCAGCGGGTTTTCGGAGGCAGTAAATTGCATGGGAAAAGACTGTCCAGCCTTCTCCCACAGAGCACCTGGCGGCAGGTGGATCCAAACCACGTGCCTTTCAGAGTGCAGCACACTTTCTGACCACTAGGCCAGCAGAACTCCCTATACTCCCCGCTTGTGGACCATAAACTACATTAAGAGTAAATTTCAATCTGAAACTAGAAATTACCTGTATTACACACTGAATCACTCACTTATTCCTCAAAATTCTATTCTTTTCATTTTTGTTGTTGTTCAGTATCAGAAATAAAAAAGAGCTCGAGGGAGAGAAATAAAGGAACTGGTCCCAAGAAACGAACAGGCCTTTACTGCACGGTCTAAGAGAGACACCAAGCCCGCGGACAGGATAGAAATGGATGGTGGGCAATCTGGGGGGTGTTCCTTCTTATGGGGGTCCTGGGGAGGACTAAGATGGTATTTCTCGGAATTTGGGTTGTTAATTAAGTTAGCTTTGGACTCTTTTGATCAGACTCAGACTCTTATCAGGATCCATTGTCTGGTCTGGTCTTTGATATGACCAGTTTAGAGGTTATCAAGTTTCTCAGGAAATGATGAAGCTTGGAGGGGGTAGGGGGCAACAGCCATATTCTTCCTTCATTCAGGCATTTGCTGCATTGCGAATTAATATCCAGAGAGGAGGGGTCTGTTTGGTTTTTAACTTTTCACTGTGATTTTGGGAGGAAATTTACAGTTAAATCTTTGCATACTCGAGAAAGAAGACCTAATTTGTGAGTAAAGGTGAAATAGTTCGGTATGGCATGCTCAACTCCCAGGGAGTCTTTTACAGCACCAATTTCTTAAACAAAACAAAAAATCCTAATGGGCCATTCAGGAAGATGACACTTGAAATACATTTCTATTATTATGCATATGACACACCTTGACTGCTGAAAAGAAGACTTCATGCACTTGCTACTAAAGATCAGACTAGTCTTCAATATGGATTATAAATCAATGTCAAGAACACAAAAAATCCTCACCACTGAATCAACATCATGATAGATGGACTAACGATTGAAGTTGTCAATGATTTTCTTAGATGCACACCAACAGTCATGGTAGTAGCAGTGAAAAAATCAAAAGACGTGTTGTACTGGGAACACAGAGGTTGTTAGGAACCTCTCTAAAGTGTTAAAGAGCAAGGATATCCATTTAAAGACTAAGGCACGCCTGATCCGATCCTATTTGACTGAAGATCCAATGCTATTTGCAATTACTTCCAATGTATCTGGAAGACAGACAATAATTAAAGATGATCAGAGAAGAACTGGTGCCTTTCAATCATGGTGTTGAAAAGTACTGAATATCCAAAACCTGCCAAAAGAACAAACAACTCTATCTTGGAGGAGGTGCAATCAGGGTTCTCCTGAGACTCAAGGATGGTGCACCTCCCTCTAACATACTCAGGCACGTTATTAGGAGGGTCCAATCTTTCAAAAAAGACATCATGTTGAGAAAGGTGGACAGTCAGAGAAAAGAGAAGACGACTCTGAACAAGATAGAATGACACAGTTGTCACGGGGATGATTTCCAAAAGAGGTCCAGGGACCTCTTCAAGCAAGAATTAGAAAGTTCTGACTCGGAAATACAAGAAAGACACCAATACCAAGTGAGAGCAAGAGAAAGAAACAGGTTTATTAGACATTCATAATAGACTATAAGAATGACTTTTATCTTACAAAAAGGCTTATATATCTTTTGTTAGGGGAGTTGGGTCTAAACTGCTGATTTCTTCTAATGAACATATGGGGACTTTTGGCCATCTCCTTTGTCCTTGAGTCTGTTGTTTTGCCCCATTCCTTGAGAGTTTGTTTTTATTGTCATATAGCTGCATTCCTTGAGGGTTGGTTCTATTGTTATATTGCCAAAGTCTTTGTCAAGACCAGTTCTGACTGATGATCTTTGCCATTCCCTGTCACAGTGACTGTACCAATGCTGGGGCACGGCAGAGATTGAAATCATGGGTCACTATGAGTTGTAGTGGATTCAAAGGCACTTAACAACATCCATTTAATGAAGTTCTCAAATGCCTTAGAAGTCAGTTTCCGTGTTATTTATCCTAGTAGGCCTCACTTCTTTCTTTTCTTCTCTGCTCCAATAACCCTTTTACTTTAAAATCTAAATGAGTATTATGACTTGGAACATATAAAGTACTTAGTACACCGCAGATCAAATCAATATTAACTATTAGTATCATCATTGTATGCTGTGATGGTTGAGTACCATTGAGTTGGAACTAACTCATAGCTGATCCTCCAGTGAATTTTCAGGGACAGTAAAATGTAAGGGAGGCTCCTGTCCATCTTTCTCCCTCAGAGAAACTGGTGGATTTGAACCATGTACCTTTGGGGTTGGTAGCATAATTCTTTACCACTAAGCCACCGGAGCTCTGTATAGGCTGTATAGTTTATCACTGTATAGCTATAACTATTTGTATTATCTCTCTGGATGGACAGTGAAAGAGAAGAGAAAGAGACATTTATTTTCCACCTTCCCAATCCTGTCTTGCACATATTAAGCATTCAATAAGTGTTAAGTATATCAATGTACACAAAATTGGTATACAAACCATATATATTTATATTTCATTTTATTTATATACACTATTTAAAAATACTAGTAAATGATGTATGTCTTCATGCAAGAGTAAAATAATTTCTGTGCATCTAACAATTCCTTATAGGCCCTTCCTTATATTTAAAGAAAAATTTCAATAAAGAAAACAAATAGCTGTCATTGCTTCTTCTGTTTTGTTCAAATTTGGGTAGGGGGTGCACTTGCGACCCGGTTTTCCCACTTTCTTCCCAGAATACTGGAGATAAAAATTATTATGGCCTTTAAAAAAAAAAAAAAAACACAGTGCAACAATGAAATAATCTTTTTAAAGAGAAAAGCGAACTGAGTCGGGGGGAAAGGAGAAAGGAAAATGTGCAACCATGAAGGACTAGAAATCAAAGTTTTCTGCAAACTTTCGTTAAAATAGTAATTTAAAAAAAAAGCGGGGGGAAGGAAAATCTAAAAAGCCGTCTGGTTTGGGGCACGAAGTCAGGCATGCCACCTAGCACCAAGGCGCGTACAAATGAACTCGTCGGGTTTGTTAGTCAACAACAGCCTCCGACTTCAGCCCTGGGATCAAGGAGGGGGCCCCGAGGAGCGCTGAATGGAGCTGTGATGTCCAGCTCGACGAGCGATGTCCGCACGAGGAGTCGCCCTGCATGCCAAACTCAGAGTTCCAGACAGTCTCAGCCTGGGGGGTGGGGACCCACAGGTTTCCTGACGCTCGGTTTCCCGGGACCCCAAGATTGCACAGACCGAGTTAGCAAAGTGTCCTGCGTTAGGTCAGGACTCAGGACCGAGGGACACAGGAGGGATGGAGAGGAGGCGCGGGCAGGTGAGCCAGGTGGACACCGGGAAGGGGAGCAGCGCGCGCGGGTCGCTCGGGAACCCTGCCTCTCTCCCCGCCCGATGGTGCCTCGCCACGTCCCGTGGACAGCCCCGTCCCTCGAGCTCTCCCGCGCTCCGGACACTGCGGACTCACCGGCTCGCCGCCGCCTCTCCGCCGACAAGCCTCTCCGCAGCCCGGCCTCCCCGCCGACCCTTCCGCGAAGCTCCAGTCCCCGCAACGAAGCCGCCCGCGCTGGGCAGCGAGCACGGAGTTCCCTGCCAGCCTCCGGGCTTCCGTAGTCCGGCGGCGCGGCGACCCGGATGTTGATGTGCCCGCTTGCCCCGGAAGCGGCGGCGGGAGGTTCAAGAGGGTGGGGGCGGTGTTGCCGGGCTCTCCGGAAGGAGACGTGGCGGCGGTTGGGCCCCCGGCTCTCCGTACTCCTTGTCATCCCGCCGCCGCCTCCTCCTCCTCCTCCTCCCCTCCTCTGTCGGCAGAGGAGGCTGTGGCGGCGACTGGAGAAAGCGGCGGCGGAGGATGGAGGAAGGAGGCGGCGGTGCGTGGAGCCTGGTACCCGGAGGGCCGGTGCTGTTAGTCCTCTGCGCCCTCCTGGAGGCGTCCGGCGGCGGCCGCGCTCTCCCCCCGCTCAGCGATGACATCCCGTTCCGAGTCAACTGGCCGGGCACCGAGTTCTCTCTGGTCAGTACGCTCTCGCACAGCGTCCCGCCTTCTTGTCTTTTCTCCTAGAATCTCCTTTCCAGGGTCGTCTCTTCCCCTTTCCCAATCCCGGACTTGACTTGCATTTATCCATAAAGCAATCCTAGGCTGTATAGATCGGGGGATGTGCTAGGCTTTGGGGATCCCGCGGACACCTCTTCTTCTTCTGAGTCTCTTGCGCTAAACTTTGCTTCCCAACATTTCCCACTTTTTTGGAAGCAGCTTTTCTTAGAACCGGGACCGACCCGCCCGTTTATTCTGCAGCTTCTCCCCATCAGCCTTCCCCCCTTTAACCATGACCCACCACCCTTCCCCGAAAATGACAATGGACAAAAAAAACCTGCTTCATCTCGCATATTTCTCCTTCCATTTGGACTGATTGATTCCACTGATTGATTGATTGATTGATTGATTGATTACGCGTAATGCTGGGGGAATCCTCTTCTGCAGAGTCGCTTCTGCGCAAGGGCGACTGTCGCCTGTGAGATGTCAACGACCCCCCTACACGGATCACCCTTCACAGATAATTTTACGCATCATCCTGACCCCAGACATGAGGTCTTTGTCTCCCATCACATTCTCATGGGGATGAATGAAGGAGACTTTGCAGTCGTCTCTGGGGGGCCGGCTGCTGAAAAGTTTTGTGTCCACGTGCAGTCCAGTGAAATACATTGTTCTTTGTGATTTACCTGTTTCACATTGAAGTTCTCAGAAATGTAGCCTCGACGTTTATTTTTTTTAAAAAGTCTTAATGCAGTCACCTAGACTCATTCAACTTTATAGTTAAAAGTATTCTTTCCTGAAACCGTAATGTCAAAACAAAAGACTTAACAGGATAACGGATGTCATCTTGACCGCAATAGCCTTCTGTTTGCAAAGGTTAGTTTTTGTTTCTGTTGCACACCTGGCTTATTTCTCCCAGCCTGGTAATTTAGTAGATTTCATATTTGTAGTAAATCTTTTACTGGATTACTAGGATTATCTTTTGCATTATGTTCTAAAGTAATCACCATATTGAAAGACCTGTATAAAGTTACACATCAACTATAAATCAGACGCAGCTTTAGGAGGCTTGGGGCAAGTATACCTTAGTCCTTCTGTAATGTCTTCAAAGAGCACACTTGACACGGACATGCCACGCGTTCAATTTACAGTCATCAGATTTTTTTCCTCTTGAATGCATAGTGCATTCTAGCAATAAAACAGAGAGCCTCTGACATGCCACGCGTTCAATTTACAGTCATCAGATTTTTTTTCCTCTTGAATGCATAGTGCATTCTAGCTATAAAACGGAGAGCCTCTGAGAGCCAGAAGCTTTGTTAAGGTGAGACAGATAAACTAGCAAAAGAATAGTGGTAAGACTGTGTGCCTTATCAAAGGGTTGAATTCCAGCTCTCATGGCTGCATTTTATTGTGCCTCAGTTTACTGCACTTTGGAGATGTTGCTTGTTGGGTTTTATGACACGAAGATTGTGTTAACTTGTTGAGCTTCCCTACACAAAGATTTGTGTTAAGGACATTGAGTTCTGCCCTGTGCTTCATGTCACATTTTAATAATTCTGGATTTCAAACGTTTTTGTAAAGCTGTTGCACACATAGTATCAGTATAAGCTGAGGGGAGCTCTTATGGCCTATTGGTTAGGGAATTGTGTTGCCAAATAAAAGGCAGGCTGTTGAGGTGCACCAGCTGGACCTTGAAGAAGAGATGGACATTCTCATCCAGTGTAGTGCAGCCTCTGAAAACCCACTGGAGGGTCACTTTTGAGACGCTTCCCATTTGACAGCAAAGAGGTTTTGTTGGTTGGTTTTGGGGATTTTTTTTTTTAATTTTTACTTTATATCAGTTTGCTTACAGAGTTGGTATACATGGTGTTTCACACTGTCCTTCATTCACATTGTTTCATACAGTCATTCCAATTATATTTTATAAAAATTATCAAGACTGAAATACGCCCACTATTGCCCTGCCTTTCCAGATCGCCTCTGGACCCTCCCCTTTTCCTTTCCTCACCCTCCCTCCATCATCACATTGTGTGAACCTGTGATTTCCCCCTAGCCCGTCCTCACCCCTCTGCTCCTACCCTCCCTCCCTTGGGTCTTCATACATGTTTTCCTAGTTGTCTTTCTGTTTCTGCAGTTATGGTCTCACTCAGTATTTGTCCTTGTGGGACTGAGTTAGCTCACTCAATATAATGCTCTCCAGTCCCTCCCAAGTTAGGTAGCAATTTTCAAAATCAGTCGTTGAGGTCTATTTTTTTTTTTTTTTTGGTTTAATGTAAACATAATTTGTATATGTCCTGGATAACTAAAGAAATGTATGACTCACTTATTCTGGACAAAGCTCACAGTATCCCCAGTATGTGTATGTATGTATTTATGAGGGGAGGGAGAGAGAGAGTCAGTGAAAGAGAATGTGTGTGTGTCTGTGTGTAAAATACTTTCAAAATAATATGTGCACTATTTCTAATTTTTGCTTTGAAATAATGTACATAAGTAGTAATAATATTTATTCCCATTTTTAACTTTTTACTTTTAGTGAATTTACAGAGCAGAGTGGCTTAGCAATAAGGAGTTATGCTGCCAAGCTAAAGGCAGGCAGTTCAAATCCCCCAGAAGGAACTTGACATAACAAAAATATATACAGCAGAACAAATGTGTGCTCTTAAAATAATTAATTATTAAAACAGGCAAGTAATTGGTAACTTAACTACCTTTTCATAAGCTCACTTTACTTTCTGGTGTTGGAATTTCCAGGCTGAAAAGAGATGCTGGATTGTGCATGTTGTACCCACCTTTCACATGCCTATCAATTTATTTTGACATTTTCTGACTATTTTGGGGGGAGTCTAGTATTATCTGAGACGTAGAAAAGAATTTTATGTTTTTAATTCATTTGAGAAGAAGCTGTAATCCTTTTTCTGTGACTTAACTAAAATAATCTATGGCCCCAAAGTGAAAATAAGACATTAAACTGTCATTGTCCCTTTTTTTTAAACTTATCATAGATAGATAGATAGATATTTCCATTCTTACTTGATTTAATTGAAACAACTGCCCCCATCACCTGGCACTGCCACTTTCTTTTACACATCAGTTGTTTGGACATCTATGTATAACTGAGCAGCTGTATAAACTAGGATAAGGTTCTTGGTGTTCTCAAAACAAGACACTGAATTAGAAGATCTTTTAAAACTGTTTTTGTTTGCTTTAAACTTTCCTGTGCTTTATTTTCTCATTCAGATTAATCAGAACTATCCTTTTTAAATTATGTCCACAATTATTTAGAAATAATGTACTAATTTCTACCCACTTGTATTATAACTATATGGGAAAGCCTTCCCACTTAAAACAAAATCTTGTAGGCCTGGGAAGAATGATTACTAATTCCATTTACAGTGCATTGTTCTGCTGACAAGTTGAAGTATGTTCACAGCCTTTCTCAGAAGAGTTCTCCCACTTTAACTCTTCATTTCTCCAGATCCATGGCAAAGATTGGAAAATATATTTCAAGTCCTTTAGCCTTATAGTACCCCCACCTCCATTGACTCCTTTCATTATATTGAAACTTCACCTTATCTGAAGTCACTGCACAGAAATGGGTTTTGGAACTCAGAGTAATTGTAGATGGGTACGATACTTGTTGGAATAACTCGCTAACAATTTTAAAGAAGTTAGAACACTATTGTGATGTAGCTAAATGAGCTAGTCCTTGGGCTGGTTTTTGGTTTTGTTATGTTGCAGGCACATACTACCTAATGCACATTTGGATTTAAGATTATATTGGTGCCAAGTATTACAGATTTCACATAAGATTTCGTTCAGTGTGGTTCTTGGTTACTTAAGAACCCAAACCCAATGAGTGAATCCATTTTGACTCACCTTGATGCCTCCATTGGTCCCTGAGGGTATATAAATTTTTACAGCATGTTCCTGATGGGTTTCTCTGTGGAAGCAATTCCTTATCTTTTCCCTTGGAATAGCTGCAGGGTTCCACATGCTCACCTCCTGGTTAACAATCTGATATATGGTGTACTGTGTCACCTGGGCTTTTTGAGAACAGAACAGGCACTTGAGAAATACAGTTCTTCACTTAGCAGGAATGGGCAGATAGCACAGTGGCAGCATCGAAGCTATCCGCTCCTGACAGGAGCGTTGGCAGTTCAAGTCTGCCAGCAACTCGATGGGAGAAAAGTCCCAACAGTCGCTCTCCTAAAACGTACAGCCGAGGAAACCTGTGAGGAGGCATATAGGATCGCCAGGTGCAGCAGCTGGCTTTGGTAGCTGCCACAGAGATCACATGGCCCACAAAGCCTGACGTATTTAATTATCTGGTCTGGTTGTTCAGTCAAGTTGACTGCGACTCTGAGTGACTCTGTAAACAGCGGATCTGAACCGGGCCATCCTCACTGTTCCGATATGCTTGAGCCCCTTGTTACAGTCACTGTGTAAACCCATCTTGTTGCGGGTCTTTCTTTCTCTTTCTTTCCTCCACCTTCTTGAGCATGTCTTTCTCCAAGGATTTTTTTATTTTTTAACATTTACTGGGTTGTGCTGCTGGAAAAATGTATTGAACATCCCATGGACTGCTTAGAGAACAGACAGGGCCATCCTGGAGAGGATAGAATCAGAACCAGGGTGCTCCTTGGAGACAAGGATTTTGAAACTCTGTGTCACAGACGTTAGGCCTGTTTCGAGGAGGGACCAGTCCTAGGAGAAGGACATCATGCTTGGAAGAGAAGGTCAATGCAAGAGAGGAAGGCTCTGGATGAGATTGAATGGCACAGTGACTTGTGGCAGTGGGGTCAGGTGTGTCAGAGACAGACTGGCTCAAGATAAGGCAGGTTCAGAGCCGTTGTTCAAGTTTGCTCCAAGTTATAGTTGACTTGACACCACATAACAACAACAATATGTACTTACATAACAGTGTAGGTTTTATTTCTTTTATTGTTAAATCAACCCCAAAGGACCCACAATAATTGTTCCTTTAAAACTATTTTGTTCATTGATTGTTCACCCATCAAACTGCATTCAGGTATGTTCAAGTGTCCCGTTTAACAGACATAAGAGTATTCTTGTAAAATGTTGTTGTATTAACCACATAAAAAATAGTCATTTCTAGTAATGAAAGTATTTAATCTTTTTTTTTTTTTTTTAGTACCAAGACATGGCTTTTATTTTCATCAAAATGAGGACTATCATAGGGTATTAGTATTTTTAAGTATTATTGCTATTAGATGCTGCCCGGTACACAACTCCTAACAGTCCTGTGAACAGCAGATTGATACCTTGCGCTGTCCCCATAAGCCATGTCATTCTCAGGCCCACTGTGGCCATCCACCTCCTTCTGCGTCTCCCTGTCCTAATCCTCTGCCTTTTCCAGTCTACTCCAAGGACTGGTTCCAGCTGACAGAATGCCCAAAGCATGTGAGACAGTTTCACCATGATTGCCTCTAACAAACACCCTTCAAAGTTGCACTTCTCCTAGATTTGTTTGTTCTTTTGGCAGTCCATGGAATTTTCAATACCCTTTACCACCACCTTAGCTCAAAAGCATTAGCCCTCCTTCACTCTTACTTATTCATTGCCTTCACTCTTACTTATTCATTGTCAAACTTTCATCTGTATAAGAAATTTAAAATCCTATGGCTTAGATGAAGTGTTCCTTACTTAGTCTTTAAACTCATATATTCTTGTTCCTTAGCACTTTAAAGAGATCCTTGACAACAGATTTGCCCAATGCAACAGGTTATTAAATATTACTTGTGGTGAGCTCTGGTGGCCTAGTGGCAAGAAGCTGTACTGCAATCCCAGAGGAGCGTGGTTCGAATCCACCAGATGCTCTGCTGGAGAAGGAGGAGCAATCTCCTCCTGTACCTGTCAGATCGGATTTGATAGTACACTCACAAAAAAATAAATAACTCAATTACTTGGACTCAGGATTAATTCCTTAGTGGTCAGTGTCTATGAACATTGCCTGGTGATTATGCTTTTTATTGATAGTTTAACTTCAGCCTATTATTGTATTACCACTTGTTTCTTTGTATTCCAAACTTATTTTTGTTCATTTTTTTCCCTTACTGAACACCAGGGTAAAATTTGTCTTTACTTTGTCATTATAATTTGTAAACTCTATTCCTTGCCTTTGAAAATTATTTTTAAAATCCTCCATTAAATGCCCTTGAAGAACCTTGGTTTTAGCTGGGACTGTTATTCGGTGAATTGCCGTTTAACCATCGGAACTGTTGTTTGCTTGCTTTCTAGCCCACAAGTGGAGTTTTGTATAAAGAAGACAATTACGTCATCATGACAACTACACATAAAGAAAAATATAAGTGCATACTTCCTCTTGTGACAGGTGGAGATGAGGTGAATCTTTTTAAATGTATTGATAATTTCTTTCACCAAAGAGAATTGCTTAAAACATTTTAAAAAACATTTGATTGACAGATTACTGGTAACCTGTTTTAACATGTTAATTCTCAATTCTTTGACTTTGCTGTTCAAGTTACAGAAATTAGCAATCAGTTACTAGTGATTTGCATAAGAATGTAACTCCAGGCTTGCTTTTTCTTGTAGAAATGAGACTATCAAATGATAAAATTTAAGTGAATATGTGATTTAAATTTATTAAAATAATTTAATATTATTATAAAATAATTTAATTATTAAAATAATTTCCAGTAGATGCCTCTAGGTACCCAGTGCTCTCTCACCATCACAGCTCATGCTGTTTTCTCTCTCCTAAAATGCCCTGGCTGCCTCTTAACCATCCTTCAAGGCAGTGACATCTTTCAAGATGAAACAGAGGTAGCGTGGAAGACTACAAAGGACACCACCTTGGGAGCCAGGGGTCTTAAGTTAGAGGCTCTAGTTAGCTCTGGAACCTTCACCAGATTTGAAACTCGTTTCCCTCATGAAATTTTATTAGATCGACTCTTTAATATTGTTTATCATCTACGAAGTAGAAATACTAAACTCAGTATTTTCTCAGATTCTAATCCAGTTTTTCATCTTTGAAGGATGCTATACTGGTGTCATTTTGTTTTATCCCACCTTAGGCACAACTATATACACACAAGAATAGGACCACATGCATGTAAGGCTTTCAAGCCCAAAATATAAAAATATCTAGAGACTCAGTAGTACTTTCAAATTTAGCAATATTTTCTAGACGGTCCAGCTATTCTGAAGCTAGAATCTGTTCAGATACTAAATGCTTTAAAACTCTGAAATAAGCTTATGAGAATTATTCAGGAAACTGATACTTTAAAATATTTTTTAGGAAAGAAAAGAGTCGACACTATGAGAGATTGTTTTTTGGCTCCACAGTTTTTACTTCAGTTCTTTTTTAAAAAGTCCCCTACCTTAGGATCCTGTGAAAGGTTTTTACTTGTTCTGTTTTTGTTTCCAAGATTTTATTTGGCTGATGAGTTAGGTGAAGTTCCATAAAAATTATATTAATCTTCTTTTTTTTTTTCTCCCTGCAGGAAGAAGAAAAGGATTATAAAGGCCCTAATCCAAGAGAGCTATTGGAACCGCTATTTAAGCAAAGCAGTTGTTCCTACAGAGTACGTAGCTATGTTTTCTTTATAAGTGGAGATACATTTCCAGTAGCAGTCAGGTCCTTAAAAATAACTCTGCTTTTATTAATTACCATGTTGTACTAAGTTTTAAGTTAAGTGTGAATATAACTATTGCTTAGTAATAGCTTGTTGATATGTATCGATTACAGTGTCACTGTAATGCAGTGCTTTGAGGATGCAGAATAGACAGCAGATACTCATTAATGCCAGCATCAAAGAATGTTTACCAAACTACCTTGAATATTAGGAGCTCTGGTGGCCTAGTGGTAAGGAGCTGCGCTGCCAACCCACTAGCACACAGTTCAGATCCACCAGCTGCTCCATAAGCTAGACAATACCTTCCCTTGCAATTAGGCTGCCTCTGAAATCTCCCTGGAGGGTCATCTGTGAGTTCATTCCAACTCACCGGCACATAACAACAACTTTGAATATTTTTTTTTCATATGAAAAGGAAATTTTCATAGAAAATATTTTGTGTGCATTTTGTTTTCCTTTTCTGGCTGTGTAGATTATCCCTGAGCAATACGGCATTGTGGGCCACAGGGCTATTTTAAAGTTTACGGCGCACCTCTTTAAGTGCCGTGCATCTAACACAAATGAGACGGTAACACAAAACGAACATGTATGTTGTTGTTATGTGCTGTCGAGTTGACTAGCAGCTGTAAACACAGCAGATCTGAACCTTGCCCTATCCTGACCCAGCCTCACTGTCTCTGACACACTTGACCCCACTGTCATAGTCACTGTGTCAGTCCATCTCATCCAGGGTCTTCCTCTCCTACTCGACCCTCTACCCTTTCATGCATGATGTTCTCCAAGGACTGGTCCACCTGGCAACATGTATAATGCACATGTTATTTACATATAGTAGTTCGTTTACAGAACAATGATTAGACATCCTTTTTGTACAACATGGAGCTCAGCTGGCCTGGTGGATAGGGAATTGCACTGCTAACCCCCAAGTGGTGCCCCTCTGGCAGCCCGGACCCGCTGGAGGATCTCTTGGAGAAAAACAGGCAGTCCTCGCCCGTGCGGTTTGCAGCCTCTGAAAACCCACTGGAGGGTCAGCGCTGGGTCACTTCTGAATTGATGGCAGTTAGAGATTCAACAGTAGATCTTAGAAGACATCTACTCAGCTACTTAGAGTATCAAAAAGTAATTCAATTATGTTTTTAACTTTGTGACTTTTCGAATCTTTTCATTCCTCCTGCTTTCTTAGATTGAATCCTATTGGACTTATGAAGTATGTCATGGAAAGCACATTAGACAGTACCATGAAGAGAAGGAAACTAGTCAGGTCTGTTTTTCTTCAAAATGTACATAAAACAATTGTATTAAAATGAGAACTGTAATGATGAGACTGATGAAATTTTATTCTTAAAAAATGTTTGCGGAAAATTTACTGTTCTGTTCTTCTTAAATATAGAAAGTAAATATTCACGAGTACTACCTTGGAAATATGTTGGCTAAGAACCTTCTTTCTGAAAAAGGTGAGTTTCTGTATACATGATTTGATAGTAACATAGGAATTTGGTTTAAAGTACATACTCAAGTTGGGATTGAAAATATTTTCTTGGTGTGTATGGATTTAAAAACTAAAATAAGGTCTTCTCCAACCTGTCCTTCTGCAGAGAGTGACCCATTCCTCTTTCTGGAATGTATCTTTGATAGGAAAACTTTTTACTTTCACACTTTAAAAAAAAAATGAAAACCAAAATAAATTTCTTAGCTGTTTACTAGAAAACTTTTTCAAAAAATTATTTTCTGCTTTGATAAACACTACTTCTTTCCACTTATTTTATTAATACCTGTCTTTTTTTAACCTGGTAAGATATGCCTTTCAGTGTTATAATGAAATTTTAAGTAACATTTCGTGTAAGTAACATTTTTATAAATGGATCTGTATTGTTCAGATTGGCCAACTAGTTTATGATTAAACATTTGTCTGAGATAAAAACATTTGAAAAGAGAACGGTTTTGGCCAGGATTTGTCTTTTTAAGTAGGGTATTTTGTAGATGAGGTAAAGATTAAGTATAACCATACTTTCAAACAAAAGCATTTAAAGGAAACTGGCTTAAAAGAGTTCTCTGCTCCATCAGGTTGGTTCCCCGCTCATAGTATCTGTACGTAAAACAACAGAACACTGTTCGGTCCTGCTTCAGCCTCACAGCCACTGCCTCTCTGGAGTGCGTTGTTGCAGGCCCAGAAAACCCACCTTCCCGAGGGTCTGCCTCTTTCTTTCTTTTTTTTTTTTAAATTTTATTTTTATTGTTTTTGTGTGAGTGTACCGTCAAATCAGATCTGACTGGTACAGGAGGAGATTATCCCTCCTTCCCTGGCAGAGCATCTGGTGGATTCGAACCGTGTGCCTCTGGGATTGTAGTTGCAGATCCTTGCCACTAGGCCACCAGAGCTCCCCTAAGGGTCTGCCTCTTTCTTGATAGTGCTCTTTATTAAGCAAACCTGTATTTTTTTACATTCTTTTGTGAAAGAAGTGCATACCATGGGATCTCGGGAGCTTCTGTAGAAGTTGGAGGTTAGAGTTGATTGAAAACATGATCATTAGTATCTTATCTATGAGTTTTCGCTCACAGTTACCATCTCTTATTATTCCTTAGAACACGAAACAGAAGAAAAATCAAAAGAGGTAAGTAACAGATGTTGATTTTCCTCTCAGCATTTTTTTTTGCTAGTGAAAGGATAAATTGATAGTTTAAGTGATAGAATATATTTCTCATCTATCAAATACTTTGAAAAATCAAACCAAAGAAAATTTACAAATTTTTATATTTTTCCTGCGAAAAATTACAATGTAATCTTTCTATTTAGTATTAAGATCATTTAAGGAGCAGGGTAAAAAAGAACTGCCAAAGACCGATCTGGGACACAGCAATGCCAACCTTTTATCCCCTGGTGCTCACTAGTTGTTCTTTCTACTTAAAATCAGAAACAATGATAGTAAGAACTTTGTGCCTTTTTCTGTTGCTCAAGTTCCATCTCCTGAATGAAAAATAAGCTATGTCTTTGAATAACAGTTTATCAGACTGCAAGATCTTAAAAGCAGGGACTGTCTTTTATCTCTTTACCCAAAAGTGCAGAACTGAGGGCCAGGCGTATTGTTGGCACTGCATGAATGTGCACTGAATGAATAGCAAGATAATCACTTAAAATACAATGCTTTAAAATAGAATGACTCTCAAAAAAAAAAAATAGAATGACCCTCCAGGTTGCCTGATTCCAGTTTCCACCTGCCCTGATAAATTAAGCAATACTTTCGAGTCACTGAAGAATTCCACAGCACTTCCCTGGGTGACACAGTGAAGCATTCCACCACTGCCCAAAAGCCAGGTGGTGCAGGCCCACCCACAGGTGCTTCTAGCCTGGCTGCCTGCTTCTGAAAGGTCACAGCTTTGACAACCCCAGTCAGAAGTCTGTCTTAATACACATGGGGTCATATGAGTCAGGATACACTCCACAGCAGCTAGGAACAACAATTTTCAATAGTGCATAATTTATCAAGAGAGTCTATTTCTGTAAATGGTTTCTTATTTATCATAATAAAGCTTTTATTAGAAGCAAGTGAGATGGTAAACCTTAAAAATCATTCTAAAAGTTTCCCTACAACTAAAAAGGGTGGCTTTAGGCAGCCCTGAAGAGCTACATAAAGACACAGATGTCATTGCTATTTTAAAAGGTTTTAATTTTACAGACCACCTTTGAGATCAATCCACCTCATAGAGGGCCCCTACCAACCATCAGAGACGGTGTGATTGGCACAGGATAGAGCAGAGTTTAGGGCTGTTGTACATAGGGTCGCTATGAGTCGCAAGCGACTCAACGGCACATAATAACAACAACCTTTGAGATAAACTGTTTATTTTCTGTGACACTGGAGAATAGCAAGCTGCAATTCAAAGTGTGAAATGATAAAGGAAGAGGAAGAAAAGAGTGAGGGAGGAAAACTAACATTTATTGAATCCCAGTTTATAAGCCAGACACTGTGCCAGGCTTGTAACAAAAGGTAATGCTTGACTCCCCCATCAGCCTTAGGTATTTATTACTCTACTTTTTACCCACTATGAAAACAGAAATTTAGACAAAGACTATAATGCTTGTAAATGTTAAAACTTAGGTTTTAAAAGTCTGATTCTATAAAAACAGCATACAAGGACATTTCAGAGGTTTATGTTTGGGGTTTTTTCCCAGGAAACATTTCTTTACTGCCTGATTTGAACACATCACTGACAGGGTGTCAGTGATAGATGCACTGAGTGCCTCCAGAGAGCTTGCTGGGAAATACTGCTTAAAGCACCTCATTAAATACCCCTTGTGTTTTTGTAGCTAAAATTACAGATGCTGATTCCTGAATAAACCCTGTAGTCTGAGTTCATTTCCTTGACTCGTTTATATAGGAATCTGTATTCTGGAAAGTGTGGGTTGTCAGTCATAGAAAAGAATCAGATTTGTGAATCAGTGCAGAGCCTAAATTCATGCTTTACTGCGTACCCCCACTTTGTAATAAAAGCCGACTTGACCTCTGAAGTCTAAACTGTCAGCTAGAGTTTCTATAAGAACAATCTGACCAATCTAGTGTATTAAGTTTTATATTTTATCATATTTCTTTAAGAACTGTTAAAAGTAATTTTTAGCCTTTTATATTTTTACGCATTTACTTGACATCTGTTTTAGCATTGCAAGATCATTTTCTTTTTTGCTATATCAAAATAGTTCTGAAACTATATATTGGTTTAAATGAGTACTTATGAGTTAAAAGAGTATTAGAAGGAAACGGAGAAAATACATAAATATGTTACTTTCCCGTTCATGAATTAAAATGTAGTTTGCTTTCCTTTTGGAATAATAAATTGCTTCCGTCCTCATCTCCACCTCCACTTCCAATGTAAAGTCTGTCTCACACTCTTTTTTTTAAGATTCCTACCAAAAATATCGAAGGTCAGATGACCCCCTACTATCCTGTGGGCATGGGAAACGGTACACCTTGTAGTCTGAAGCAGAACCGGCCCAGATCAAGCACTGTGATGTATATATGTCACCCTGAATCCAAGCATGAAATCCTTTCAGTCGCTGAAGTTACAACCTGTGAATATGAAGTTGTCATTCTGACACCACTCCTGTGCAGCCATCCTAAATATAGGTAGGATGTCCGTTTAATGTTTTCAGCATGAAATACTCACATGCTTGGACATATCAGGAGCTCAGTGTTAACATTCTTCTTACTGAATAGGTTCAGAGCATCTCCTGTGAATGACATATTTTGCCAATCAATGCCAGGCTCGCCGTTTAAGCCCCTCACCTTGAGGCAGTTGGAACAGCAGGAAGAAATACTAAGGGTGCCTTTTCGAAGACATAAGGAGGTATGAGAATTCCCTAGTGGTCGTTTTCCCAGTGCTTGCTTTTCCAAATGTTGGGGCACATTTTCGTGTTTTAATTCTTTCTAGAGGACGGTGGAAATAACCTGTTTGCTTGATTTAAAAATCTAAATCCCACTTCTTTGATTTATTTGCTTTCCCATCCTTGCACATTTCAGGAACATTTTAGCATTGTCTTTCACTGTAGGTTCTAATAGCTTTCTCAAGCTTGCTAGTCTGTTCATAGTAGTTAGGTTTAATCTGTGCCTAGGTAACTGGACTTCAGCTAAATCCCTCTGAAGAGTAGACTGGAACCAATCTTCCCCTTTTGCTGTTTCACTTCTTCTTCCATGTGGGTCTTTTTGACCTGTGTACTCTTTTCCCTACTTGCTGCCTCTAAAGATGTTGAGGTTCCACATGATTCTGTCATAACCCTTTCCTCCTCCTACTGTGGACAGGCTTCGCAAGTGAGCTTCCCCATGCCTCATCTTCCCGTCACATTTGTGTCCATCAATCCCAGGTACACATCTTAAGCACCACTGACCTCCAAGCAGTCATGAGTAGTAACCTCTATTGAGTTCTGACAGCTCCTGTTACCTCATCGACCTGTGAGGTGAACACTGTTAGTATCCACATTAGGAGATTAGGAAGGAGGCTCTGGTGGTGTCGTCCACAGGGACTTGGGCTGCTAACCCAAAGGGCAAGCCTCTGGCAGTTCAAATCCACCACCAGCTCCAGGGGAAAAAGATCGGCAGTCCCTTCCCGTTAAATGTACAGCCTCAGGATCAACTGTGTGTCAATTCCAATTCTATAATGAATGATTACTTGCCTTCTCAGTTGTTTTTAATGCATTGTGTTCTCTCACTTAACTGTATCAGAAGCCTGAGTCGTTTTTCAGCCAACATCCATCTGATATCAGCGGTGACATTTCTCATTCCTTAGCCTCTTCTGAATCCAAGTTGAATTTCTGGTAGTTCTTTTGACACACTGTTGTAGCCATTTTTAAATAATCCTCAGAAAGATTTTACTTGAAGATGATGTTAATAAGATTGTTCAATAATTTCCACATTCTGTTGTATCACATTTTTGGGGAATGGGAACAAATATGGATCTCTTCCAGTCAGTTGGCCAGGCAGTGATCTTCCAAATTTCCTAGCACTGGCTGGTGAGCACATACACGGCTGCACCGCATTTGTTGAAACACTTTAGTTGGTGTTCCATCAGTTCTCGGTCCTTAATTACCAGTGGCTTTTTGGTCATATGCTACTTCCTGTATGACTTAATATCAAATCACTTCTTTTTGGAGCAGTGATTCTTTGTCTTCCTTCTGTCGTCTTTTGATCTTCACAAAAGAGGAAAACAGATTTGTGTCTTCTCTATTACATTGTCAGTTCCTCCAGGGAAACATTCAGATCCTGGCACTTTTCATTAATTGATGATGAAGAGTCAACTCTGGTCTGCCTGTTACTCTTCCTCAACAGTGACTACATTTCCACACAATCTTAACAATAGTAAAGTGCGCTTAATAAGACTAATAAAATATCTGAAATAGAAATTGCGCAGGATGGCCACCATATCCCTTACTGGTACATGAAAATAACATTTATCTAGAGCTTTCTCAGTCTTACTAACTGTTGTAAAATTCATTTTCTTAAAGCACATTTAAACACGAATTGTGAGGTGCCGTCGAGTCTGACTCCTAGTGACCCTCTGAGCAGCAGATCTGAGCCCTGTCCCGTCCTGCGCCATCCTCCTTATCTGTGGCACAGTCACTGTCAGTCCATCTTGTTTGGGTCTGCCTCTCCTTCGCCGACCCTCCACTCTCCCAAGCGTTATGTCCCTTCCCAAGGAATAGCTTTGCCTGCCCAGAGTGTGTGAAGCGTAGCCATTTTTGTCTCCAAGGAGAGCACTCTGGCTGCACCTTCTCCAAGACGTATCCCTTTGTTCTTTTAGCAGTTCATGGGATATTCTGTCGTCTTCTCCAGCATCACAGTTCAGAGGCATCAATTCTTCTTCTGTCATCCTTACTCGTTGTGCAGCTCTCAGATACAAAGCAAATGATTGAAAAAACCATGGCCAGAATCAGGCACCCCCTAGTCTTCAAATTGACACCATTGAGTAGACAGCTCTTACTTTGTTTCTTTTAAAGGTCATAATAATTCAAACTATAAATAACAATGAATTTTACGGTAGGGAAGCCCTAAACAAATATATGCTCATTTTTAGGAAGAGTTACAATCAACCAAAGAAGAGAGATTTCCAGCAATCCACAAACCCATTGCAATTGGCTCTCAGCCGATACTAACTGTTGGAACAACCCACATATCCAAATTGACAGATGACCAGCTGATAAAAGAGTTCCTCAGCGGTTCTTACTGCTTTCATGGGGTGAGAAGTAAACCTTCAGTTTCAATATCTTAGAAATGTTATTCGTTAGTTCACCAAGGGGCTCTAGAGTACGGAAAAGCGTTTTGTCTCGGGACTCTGGAAACCTCCCACTATCAGTTTCTGCTTCTGGCCCCTCACTGTAATCTACCTCACAGCCACTGTGTTCTCTTTTTTTTTCTTTGAAAGTAACTCTTTATTGATAAACATTTGTACCAGAATTAGAAATATCAGTAGAAAAGTAAAATTTAAATAATTTTCCATTGTACAAAGATTTGATCATTGAGACTGCAGCAGTCAGTAGAATAACCTAATACAAAAAAAAGTGAAGCTGATTTTAGTCACAGGTCTAGCCGGAAGTAAAGTACACAGCCCCGAGGTGTAAAGGAGGAGTGTTTGAACCCAGGTGGAGAAAGCTGTGGCTGCCTGCGTCCAGCAGGACCTACGACCTTGGAAACCTGGGGGACAGTTCTCCTCTGTGCTGAACCGTCACTGGTTAACTTGACAGCGCCTGTTTTGATAAGGCTTTTCTCATTAATCGTGTATAAACACTTAACCTTCACTCTGGCGGAGAGAAGGATTCTGGTTAATTGCTTGAATGGGCATCAGTGATAGGAAATCCAGAATTTCGGTGATAAAATCATTACATTGAAAACATAATGACTACAAAGTCAGAATTTTCCCTTTAATCGCTTCAGTTCTGATACACTTACAAGTGGAGTTTCAATTTTGGTTTATTTTACAAAGGCCGCGTAGTAGTAGTATCTGTATTCTGGTTTGTGTGATTTCTCAGTAATTTTCCATTTGACTTTTTTTATCCATACTTCCACTGTGATGTACGTACGTACGTGTGTGTGTGTGAGAGAGAATGTGTGAATCCATTGCTAGCATGTGGCAGTAGGAGTGGCTGCAGCTCCCCGCTCTGTTACCTAGAACTTGATCTAAGATGTTTTCTCTCCTCTAGGGTGTTGGATGGTGGAAATATGAATTCTGCTATGGCAAACATGTACATCAGTATCATGAGGTATAAAACAGCATTTATATCACTCTACCTCTCTATGTGTGTACTGTTACTTTTTCTTAGTTAAACCCTCCATAAGAAAGAAATACATATATATGAATGTTATGACCTTTTTTGTTTATATTGAAGAGCACATTCTAAATACGCTACCCTGCATTTGTTCTTTTGGAGATTTTTTCACGTCAGTAACATCCCTTTTCAGTATGTTAAGATCATTAGTCCGTATCTACATGTACTTAACCAGATCTCTTTTGATGGACCTTAAAGTTGTTTCTAGTTTGGCTGTTACAAGCAGTATTTTAGTAAGCACTTTGAAATACCTCTATTGCTAGGGGGTGAAGTGGGATGTATTTTAAATATATATATAAAACATTTGCTAATTCAATTTTTACCCACATGGCATTGATATGCTTATCACTTGCAACAAGGATGTTGCTATACTTTTGCACTCATATTCATAGGGTACCTTGCTAGTAATGGAATTAATCTCTCCAAGTATGTGCATACTGGAAAACTGATTGGAACAGTTTGCTCACCTATTAACCATGGCTGTTAGCGGCCATCAGGAGGTTTTACTACATTTATTTAGACCATGGTCATGTAACATAGAGCTGTCTGAGGGTCTCTGCTCCATAGAGTAGGAGCTAGAAAGATAGTCATCACTTACAAATGCACTGTTGTCTGTGTGCCAGGCATGGTTCTTAATGCTTTGCACACATTAACTCCCTTCATCCACGTAACTGCCTAGAAGGTGGATGTCATTGTCATTCCGAGAGGAGGAAGCAAAGACTGAGTGGTTTGCCTAAAATCATAAATAACGTATATAAATAGAGGGTGAAACCAGAATTCACGCATTGGCTTGTCTTGCTCCATAATCTAACCTTTTAAACACTTCACTGTCCTATTCTTGTCCCAGTCACTTTAGAAGCATATAAAAAGTAACTAAAAAAATTTTTAGTACCTATCTCTTCCACTAAAGGGGTCTTGGTGATGCAGTGGTTAAAGCCATTGACAGGAAACCAAAAGGTTGGCAGTTCAAACCCACTTGCTGTTTTATGGGGGGAAGGATGTGACAGTCTCCTTCAGCAAAGATTACAGGCCAGGAATCCCGGAGGGACAATTGGATTCTGTCATACAGAGTTAGAATTGACAACACGCAGCAGGCATGTCTCTGCCGATAGGTGGGAAACACTGCTAGAGCAGTGATCAGACCTCGGACCTACCCCCGGTTTAACGATGTTAATTCTACTAATCTGCTATATGCTGATGCCCGCCCAGTGCCTGCAATGAAATGTCAGAGAGGGATGAAAGAAGGAGTTACTTTAAAAGTAACACCTTCTGGTGGGGAAGTCCATAGGAGGTTGCTCTGTGAACCTCAAGGCAGCAACTCTCATTGTTCAAATCCACCAGCTGCTCCTCAGGAGGAAGGCTGACCGTCCCCACCCGTGCGATTTACAGCCTCCAAAAACCCACAGGAGGACCTGCTATGAATCGGTTCAGACTCATTGGCAATGAGGAGAAGTTTAACATGAATTGGAATTCACAAGAAATTGGCAGAATGGGAAAGAGTTCTTGCTAGAAAAACAAACGTGATGTCAAATAAGTAGTGTGAAGACCAGCATAACTTGAAAGTTTGCATTTAGAGAATCAGCAAGCGAGCTCTAGTGCCCTTGTGGGTAAGGAGTGGCACTGCCCACCCAGTGGCCTGAAAGCCTCTGAAAACCCACCCAAGGGTCAGCTCTGAGTCACCTCCAACTTGACACATGAAAACAACAAGGAGGACACAGATGGGTCCAGTGTGGCCACAGGGTAAGAGAAGGAGGCTAAAAGATTTCATTAACATGGAGTTGTATTACCTAGAGATGAGAGTTGAACTACTTGCTTTGGCGAGTAGTGAAAATGTTCTGAAAGAGAACCCAAAATAGCTCGGGAGGTGGGGAGAGAAGCTGATGGACTGATAGATAAAAAACGACATAGAGTTTCAAAGGACTCTGTACTTGGAACTAGTGGACTAGAAAAATCCTGAGCCCCAACTTCTGCTCATTGAGTTTGACTAGCATCATTTTATCCAAACGTCAGTGTGCAGGCGAGGATGAAGACAATCGCCGAGAGGCTCGGGGTTTCAGCATATACGTCTACTTGGTGCTGTGGTGCGTTGTCTTAACACAGATATTCCTTTCATGTATTAGGACAAAGACAGTGGGAAGACGTCTGTGGTGGTGGGGACCTGGAACCAAGAGGAGCATATTGAATGGGCCAAGAAGAACACGGCGAGAGCCTATCACCTTCAGGACGACGGCACCCAGACAGTCAGGTAAAGAGCCTTTACTAAATGCCTTGGCCGCTAAGTAATATTTAAAAACTCACAATATTGGAAAACAGAAACATGGAAACTCAAGTTAAGCCTTTGACACAGTTTTTCTCCTGGGGGCATCTGTAGGGTAGTTCTCTTTTCTTGGGGACACAACACAGTATAAAGATTCAGTGCGGAATCTCTAGAGTCCGGCTACTTGGATTCAAAGGCAAGCTCTTAGGACCTTGAATAAGTCCGGTAATCCTTTCCAAACTTCACTTTTCTGGTCTTAGTTGCTTTGTAGAGTCGTGATTTAAATCTGGTAATTAAATCACAGATTGTTATGTACTATCGAGTTAGAACTGTGTCATAGCTAGCTCTCCAGTGAGCTTTTGGAGGCAATAAATCACATGGGAGGAGATTACCCACCCTTCTTCCATGGAGCAGCTGGTGGATTCAAACCATGTTCTTTTGGGTTGGCAAACTCCTTACCACCTGATAATAGCACCCAATCAGCATTGGCTGCTGCCGTGAATAATGTTGGTGGGATGAGAATGGTGATGTTAGTGAACTTAATTCCAGGTGTTAGATCTGAGGTGATGATAAACTGTTTGCCTCTTTCCTGTGTAGTACTCGCCCTACAGTATTGTTTCAGTATACCCGTGGCATTTCTACTTTTATTTCACCTTTGTGAATTAATGGCTGCAGTAATTGACTATTACAGTGACTATTCAAAAAAACAACTTCACATCTCTTTTGAGCTGAATTTTCTCTGAAAAATTAAGCTCAATCCCCAAGAATAATGGAGCTTTAGTTTTTTCTTGCACCAAACCAAAAGTTGATTCCTACGAATAGCAACGCATACAGCTGCTTCACAGTTTCCAAGACTGTAAGTCTTTATAGGAACAAGCGGCCTCATCTTCCTCCCACAGAAGGGCTTGTGGGTTCAAATCCAACCTTGGCGTCACAACCCAGTGCTCTCACTGTTATCTGTCTTCCCCAGCCTAGGCTCTTTGCAGTGAACCTTAAAATCACTCCTTTTCTGTCTTTCTGGTTTCATAACTTCCCCCTTCGCACAAATAGTATTGAATGGTTGATTTCAGAATATGCTTGTTTATCTTACTAAGCAAAATCAGTTAGCAAAAGTCGATGTAGACGTTTAATTATTAGAATATATTAAAGAGCGTCACAAGCGCAGTAGGGAGCGGGGTGAGTCTTGTGGAATATGTTAGTCTGATTTGTTGAGCATGTGTGTTGTTTCATTTTGATCCTGTGTTAGTGAGTAGTGATGCGTGGGGGTGTGAAGCCAGCAAAGTAAATACCCTCCGGGTCTGCTGCTCTGGATTTTGGAGCCTGACCCAAGCTCTGCCTTTGTTTCTCCCCTACTCCAATATGTTCTTGAAGTAGCTGAATGCAAGGTGGGAAGGAAGGAAAACACTGCCACAAAGTAAACCTAAGTCAGGAGCTTGAGAAATGCTTAACTTTAGAAGAACAACTTTTGAAAGTTATCTCACCATAGCAACTTGTGTGTAAATAACTAATATGCAAATTAAAGATCATTATTATTCATTAAAACAGTAGGAATTATTTCTGCTTTATACTGGTTGGGTTGGTTTTTTTTAACCTAAAAGTCCTGAGTCTGTTTTAAAAATAAGTGGTTTTAAAGAATATTAATGCCAAACTGATTGTGCTAACCTTCTTCTTAACCTACTGGTTACAGTTATTCTAAATTGCTGAGGTTTTTACTTAATAAAGCATGTTTGTTTCTCTGATTCAGGATGGTGTCACATTTTTATGGGAATGGAGATATCTGTGATATAACTGACAAACCAAGACAGGTGACTGTAAAATTAAAGTAAGTTGGACCATGAAGTCATTCTTCATACTTTTCTTTTTTACTAGCTTCCTTTGGACAGAAGTTTGATATGCATATAAAAGATAATTATGAATGTAGTTACTGTTAAATGATACGGCGTTCACTTATATGGATTTTTTTCCCCTTTTTGTAGCTTAATAAAAAACCATTTAAAATCTTAACTGTTTTCGACAGTGCCTCAAAGTGCTTTCTATTTCAGGTGTAAAGAATCAGATTCTCCTCATGCTGTTACTGTATATATGTTAGAACCTCACTCCTGCCAGTATATCCTTGGGGTAAGTCAGAAGCAATCCACGGTTTGGTTTGGGACCATATTTAATTTTTTGATCAAATGTAAAAAGGCTCCTCAGAAAAACAGTGTTAGATAGAAAAAGAGTTAAGGGCGAGAGAAACTGGTCCCAAGAAACGAACAGGCCTTTATGGTGTGGTCTGAGAGGGATGCCAGGTAACCACAGGCGGAGAAGGTCAAAATAGTACACCCACAATTAGAGGCAATTCCTTTTTATAGTAGTCTTGGAGTGAGTGAGCTAGGGAAGATGGTACCTCACTGGTGTTTATAATTAAAGGGACTATACTTTCAAAGAATTTGCTGTATCTATTTTACCACAAAATTAAAACAGTACTAACAGGCACATTTAACAAGTTACTGATAGCTAGCAAAGTAATCTAGTGTAGAAAAGTGGTTTCTTATAGTATAAAAGCTAAGAAATACTGTGTTGGTCTGCATATTTACCCCCTAGATGTGACATAGGCAATTTTTTAGGCATAAGGGCCTTTCTCTAAAGCTGCAGTCAAGAAAGAATGTCTTAGTAAAATAGTCAAGATAAAAGGAAGGAAACCCACTTTTCTTTAATTAAAAATCTAGTGCCAAAATCAGGATTAAAAAACTAAAAATCACAACGTAAAAATTTTACTTAAAATTTATGCTGTCTACATTTGATAAAATCCAGTACCCTCTCGTGATAAAAATTCTCTCCACAATAGAAGGGAAACTCTATAACATTTATACATGCTCGTCAGTATAACTAAGAGCACAGATACAGTCTAAAAACCAGCATTATTATCAGTGGAAAGGCATTGAAAACATCCCCCTGAGGCTGGAAATTAGACCAGGATGCCCTTATCACCAGCCTTACTCAGTACTGTACTGGATGTTCTAACCAGGGCACTAAGAAAGGAAAATAAAGTACATCTAGATTGCTAAGAAAGAAGTAAAATGATCCCTATTTATAGAAGTCCAGATTCTATACATAGAAAATCTCAGCAATAGGACAAGAAAGTTCCTGGAACTAATACAAGAGTTCAGGAAAGTGCTAGCATATAACATTAATGTACAAAAATCAGTAGAATCCGTCTGTGCATTAACAAGGACAAGTCTGATAAGGAAATCAATAAATATTACCATTTAAAACACCCCCCCCAAAAGATAAAATACCTAGGATTACGTTTAAACAAAGAAATAGTTTATACAGAGAAAACTACAAAACACTACTGCAAGAACCCAAGAGACCTGCATACACAGAAAAGCAGGCCATGTTCACACTTAGAACATTGAGTATTGTGGGCGAATGTCAGCACTGCCCAAAGCAATCAATATTTGTAATGCCGTCACAGTCCAAATCCAGCTTTATTTAAGAAAATGGAAAAACTAAAGAGGCCCCAAATGGAGTAGGAGCAGGCCTCGCACTTGGCTCTCTCAGAACTCACTGTATCCATAGTAGTCACAACAGCCTGGCTCTGGTAAAATGACATATCCGTCGACAGAAGGAACAGGATTGAGAATCCAGAACTAAATCCATCCAGCTGTGGAAAACAGATCCTCAGCAAAGGGTCAAAGTCTATTTAATGGACAAAAGATAGTCTCTAAGAAACAGCCTAGAATTAAAACTTCACAGACAAAACTCTATATGCATTTGCAGAAAAAGGAAACAAGATCCATGCCACACCATGAACAAAAACTCCTTCAAAATGGATCAAAGACCTAAATGTGAAACCTAAAACTGAAGTTCCTAGAGGAGAACTCGGGGACAAAGCCAGAGGTTCTAATCTAGAGCCTGTTAACAAACATAACTAAAAGTGCCCCAAAACAACAGCAAACTAGATCCCTCCTAAAAAGGAATACTATCATCTAGAGAGAGTCAAAGAAGACATTGAGGCGGTAAACAAACATCAAGAGACGCTGTCAGTCATTAACCATTAGAGAGATGATATCTTCACTCCTGCAGAAATGGGCGGGGGGGGGAAATCCCAAATGCTGACAAGGTTATGGTGAAATTGCACTTTCTTCACTGCTGATGGACCATAATGGAAAATGGAAAGTTCTTCAGAAAACTAGCACACCCATCAACAAATGAATGGATAGAAAAACTGGTATAGTCACACAATGGAATACTACACAGCACTGAAAAACAAGGAACTCCTGAGACATTACACAACATGTGTGACCCCGGAGGACATTATGCAGAGTGAACTATCTCAGCCACAAAAGGACAAATACTACATAGCACCACCGTTACAAAACAAGACTGACATGGGGGCTGGGGGGAAACTAGGAAAAGATAGATAATGAACGCTGCATTGAAACAGATGAAGCAAAGAACTATTTAAAAGGCATATATGATTAGCATTTGTATGACAACAGTCCATAATAAGAGGTATACTGCAAAGTGGATTTGGGGTGGGGGGAATTGTGCAACAATGAATATTTTTAAAAAGTTAACTGGGAGGTAGGGAAGAAAAATGTGCAACAGTGAATGAAAGAAAATCCAACTTTTCTGTAAACTTTTGTTAAAATCACAATTTAAAAAAATGAATAAGCAAAACAATATAAACTTTTTTTAAAAAACCTAGAAAAATGTGTATAGACAGTATACCATGTTCATCTTGTTAATGTTTTTGTTGTTGCTGTTGTTTTTCTTTAGGTTGAATCTCCAGTAATCTGCAAAATCTTAGATACAGCAGATGAAAATGGACTTCTTTCTCTCCCCAACTAAAGGGTAATAAAGTTGGGGGAAAAGGTCATTGCAAGTCATGATGATTTCTGTGGCCATATGTCTTGTTACATACAGAGTCTCTCAGCCATTGGACCTCATTTCAAGGATTGTATAAAAGGACTCGGAACCACTTTGTGAATACCTATGTGTATATAAGAGCTTATTGATAAACTTCTAAAGGCGGACACTTGTCTCACTTGTTCATTTTTATCTAATGAGATGACCACATGTGGACTTTTATCTTTCTTTGCTTGGATGATGTGATTCCAGAATAAATCTTGTCCAGGCAATTTAAAGTTCAGCATAATCAAGTGTAATCATCGTTGTACCTATTTAAAGTTTTTAAAGAAATTATTTTGTAAATTACATATAACTAGTCAGTGAATTAAAGATAATGAAGACAAAACAAAATCAAAGAACGTGTAATGTCTAGTGCCTGGAATCCTTTCAGTACATTTGTATATCTAGTTCTTCCAGACCTTAAACGAGGCAGGGTTACAGTGGTTCCTCACGTGGGAGATGATTTCGCCTCTTCACCTCTGTCTCACCAAGGACGGAGAATGCTGCTTTCAAAACATACTTCATCGATTCTTTGTCAGTATTTTTCCACAGTCTGGAGCTGCTATAGATGATATTTCTGTTCGCCTTAGAATGGTTTGCCTTACGGAAACGCTGGCACTCTGGATGCCCCAGGCCCAGTCCTGGCCAGCACAGAACAGCACAGTGTTGCTTTTGAAAGGGAGAAAACGTTCACAGGCAGTGTAGTTGTGTTGTCAGCACCTTTGAGGGGCTTCCTCTCTTTCGCGAGCCCTCCACCTTTCTAAGCATGATGGCCCTTTCCAAGGAATAGCCCCACCTGGCAACGTGCCCAGAAGATGTGAGCTTTGCCGTCACTGCCTCCAGAGAGCACGCTGGCTGCAGAGGGCACTACATCTGCCCCCTCATTGGCTAAGCTCTACCTCTGAAAGTTCATTTCTGTGTGGGCAGAAACTAGACCAGGTCCTGCCATCAGGATTCTGACTCCTGGTTCCCCAGTCCAGGGTCTGCAGATAATAAATAGTGTGTTTCTACCTCTAGTCTAATGCCCACTGTGTGTACTTGTCGTTAGCTGCTGTCACCTCACTTCCAACCCTCTGTCACCCCGATACTAGCATGGTCCACCTCCTGAGGTTTACGCAGCCATGTTTTCTGTCTTGCCGGGCACCTGTTGTTGGTACCACTGAGTCTACTCCAGTTCAGGCAGTGATGATGTAACTAGTTGTCATGATATAGCAGAGCTGAACATCGCCAACCCTGACCCGTCACTGCGGTCCCTGAGCCCGAGGTTGCACCACGATGCCAGTACATCTCCGAGGTCCTCCTCATGTTCACTGACTCCTACCAAGCACAGTTTCCTGGGTGTCTGCAGATTGCAGACTGCCCGTCTTTCTCACGTAGCCACTGCGTCAGTCACTTCTGACTCAGGGCAATGAAGATTTGAGAGCCTTCTAAATGGTGAGAAAAGACATTTTTGGAAAAACAAGGCAATAATTTATTTTAAATACTATTTTGTGTTTCAAGTAAAAGTTGACACAATAAGTTTGTTGGGGTTTGGTTTTAAAAAAAACACCCAGGGAGCTCTGGTGGCCTAGTGACAAGAAGCTGCACTGCAATCCCAGAGGCACACGGTTCGAATCTACCAGATGCTTAGCTGGAGAAGGAGGAGCAAGCTCCTCCTGTACCTGTCAGATCTGATTTGACGGTACACACACATAAAAAAATAATAAATTAAAAAAAAAGAGGTCTAGAAACTATACACTGGTGGACCGAAACCAGCAGAGAGGCGTTGCCTTTCTGTCATGGGCAGAACTTGTTCTTGTTGTTCTTGTTGTTAAATACTGTCTGCAACCATGACTCAAAGCGACCCTTTGAACAACCTTGTATCCTGAGCCAGCCTCACTATCTCTGACACACTTGACCCTGTTTCCATAGTGCATGTGTCAACCCATGTCATCTCATTCAGGATCTTCCTCTCCTACTCTGACCCTCCACCGTTTCAAGCATCTTGTCCTCCAAGGTCTGATCCCTCCTCGTATCGTGGTCAAAATAGGTGAGACAGAGCTTCAAAGTCCTTGCCTCCAGCTTCTTAAGTAGGTTCAGACCAATAACGTCTCAGCTCCTAGTCAAGTACTTAACTGTTTGCACAACCAGGGACTCCCCTGAACGATTCAGGAGGCTGAGTTCATGACAGGATTCAGCTCAGTGTTCCTCATTGACCTTGAGTCTTGAAGTCCACTAAGGGGAAGCTGTGAGCCCAAATCAGACTGACAGAGGTGTAGAACCAAGGAAATACATCTTAAGTAAACTCTTGGCACTGGTAACATCACAAGTCAGCAATTCAAATCCAAGAGCTGGGCCTTGGAAGGAAGGTGGGCAGTTCCCCAAGATTGACAGCCTCTCAGAAACCCTGCACCATGTGTGGTAACGGACAACAGTTGGGTTTTAGCTTTATTTTAAAAAGGAAATGCTCCAGAAACTGAATCATGAAATTTAAGAATTTAACAGTGTTACATACATATTAGCCCTTCTATCTCTAGATTTCCTCATTCTGTACGTCTTACTTTGCCTGCTCTTCTCTGAAGAGCCACTAGGTGGGGCCTCCAGCCCAGCCCTAGTTTATATACTTCATTAAAGAAAGGGCTTTGGAGCAGCTCAACAGAATAGTGAATAGACGGCTTTGTATACAATCCCTGGGGAACTACTCTGTTTAGTCCATCTGATGGACAGTAGACAAAGTCCTGACCTGCTTCCTGACGATGCTCAAATCCCCTAGTGCACAATCCGGACCGAGGAGCCCCGGAGATCTAACATCACAGCAGCATGGCAGGATTCAAAATCAACATTCAAATTGTGAATAAGTAGGATTCGCAGTGAGAGTTTTCAAAGAAAAACAGCAACTACTCTAAAATCTGCCTTGATAGTCACTAGGTGATCATATTTAGCCCTGCCTGGGTTTCCTTTTGAACTCAGAAATAGGACTGCCTTTCATCTATATAGAACATCTGTATTATGTTGCCATGGCACCAGAGCTCACAGGCCATTTGTCCATTTATTCTGGGGGTTTTTTTTAATAGTCTGGCAGGAGAGACCGCAGAGCCATGGAGCACTACACACCCCGGAGCATACCCAGTAATCCCAATAGCGTCAAAAATGAGTTGTACAAGGAAGAGAGATTTGTCAGCTGGTCATGAGGGAAAAGAAATTCAGTTCATTTTTCATCTGTAAACTAAGACTCAAGCACTACTGAATTTAGTCTGATTACTGATGCTGCTACTTAGTCATCCACAGATCAGAAGGGGACATCGTAGGACACAGGGAGGCCTGAGAAAAGAGGGTGTTTATTGCAATTTAATGGGAATCCTTGTATTCATCGCTTTTCACCGTATCACGTGTCCCCTCACATTCCTGGATAAGTGGTCATTAAGGAATGAACTGTGTCCTCACACAAATGTATACTGTTAACCAAAAGGTGAGTGGTTCAGATCCACCAGCCACTCTGAGGGAGGAAGACAGGCAGACTCCTACGGGGAAGGGAAATTGTCAGGGCCTCAGAAGACTCATGGGAGGCTGCCAGGAGTGACACTTGACTCAGGAAGTGGGTTGACTTGTAGTTGGGAGTGGAGCTTCTTTGTGATGCTAATGAGGCCGGCTCAGTGTGGGTGTGTCTTCTCTCTGGAGATATAAACAGCCTTCTAAGCAAAGGGGACAATGCAGGAGAGGAAGACCCTGGAGGAGATGATTGACTCAGTGACTGGGGTAATGGGGGGAGGGGAGTCAGGCTAGAGCAGGATTCAGAGCTGTTGTACATAGAGTCGCTTGCTGTGCAGGCAACTCCTCAAGGGCACATCACAACAAGTAGCAAGCAAACACGCACAGATGGAGAAGGATAGACGTCAGGCCACATGATGATGGCCCAGGAGAAGCCGAAAGGGACAAGGAGCTTCCTCCAGAACTGACAGAGAGGAAGCCATCTTCAGAGCCAGCCTCCTGAAGGCAGACTTCTAGCCTCTTGAACTGTGACGAAATAGATTTGTCTATTGAAGCCACCCACGTCTGCTATTTCTGTTAGAGCCATATTAGAGGCTAAGACAGAGGCCGAACTATGCTGCCCGGGTTTAATCAAACCAGGGCTCCCCATCACCTTCTCAGAAAAGGGAATTGTCATTGTCATTGTCGATGTCAGCATCAGGACACACAAAACTCATTTGACCAAGACACCAGTCGAGAATTTCATCCTTTTTAGAGGTATCCAAAGTAGTCCCCTAAGGTCCAGTTCCTTTACAACATGTGTTTGTTAGAAATGCATAGTTCTGGTGGCGTAGTGGTAAGAAATTGCACTACCAACCCAAAGGCAGGAGGTTCAAATCTACCAGTTTGCTTCTCTGGAGAAAGATGGGCAGTCTGCTCCCCTGGGGTTTCCAGCCTCTGAAGACCTGCTGGAGGGTCAGCTGTGAGTTATGACTCAACAGCACACACCAACAACCTTGAGTAGAAATAACACAGCATTCTCTCTGATTTTTGTCCTTCCCAGCAGTGGGTTCAAATGAGTATTATTTCCCCACTAGCAAGTAGAACAATCTAAAGACTATTGTAATTCATTCCTTAGCAGAAAAAAGAAGGGCAAGCCTGACAGGCTCAGAACTTACAAAATGTCATGAAGACACACAAAAATACTACCATCTGGGATATAGAGCAGTTCTTGAAGTGCTCAGCTGTTAACCACAAGGGTGAGTTTAGAACCCACTAGCTTCTTGTTAGGAAGACATTAGAGTTTGGTTCCATAGGGAAAAACTGATGCCACTGAGAGAAACACTGACTCGCGGCTCACCTTCCAGCAGGTTTTCAGAGGCTGTAAATCACACGGGAGGAGAATGCCCATCTCTCTCCCACACAGCAGAGGGTGGCTTTGAAATGCCTATCTTTCAGTAGCAGGACAGCGCAAGAGAGGAAGATCCAGGATG